CAGATGATGGATCCCAGGGGCCAGATGCCACTCCCGTTGACTACTACTTCTACCCCAATGGTGCCTACCGCTACTTGGAGACCGCAGATGACTAGGAGTAGTTAGGAGGTCTCAGGCAGGAGGCCTTTCCTTTTCGATCGTTGTTGCTTTTGTGCTGGCCTTCTTAAGGCAGTTTTGTTTCCTTATGTCTGTACTCAGATATTGTTGCTTTCGCTGACGCTTGTGTATCGAGTTTTTGTATTCAAGCCCTCGAGGCCCCTGACTTGTAATATGAAGCTTGTATTATTTTGATTTGTGTCTAGAGTTGTGTTGTGATATCTTTCCGTGAGTCCCTGATCTTGATCGTACACATTTGCGTGTATGATTAGTGTACGATTGAATCAAGGGCGTCACACCGGTGCACGCGAATGTTTTGGGGTGAAGTAGACTACAGTGATGGTGCAAACAACAAAATGAGGCAAAAACCATACCTTGATTTGATGTGACAATGATGGTGGCCAATAGGTCATATAAATATAATAAGAAATGAATGGTCTCAATCCAAATCGACTAGGCTTCCAACTCGTAAATTAGTCGGTTAAGAAATCAAAATAAATGGCAAAGAAAGTTCTGCACCTGCAAGTCCCGCTTTCACGCCCCCGGCTCGAGCTCACCAAGGCAAGCACATGCGTCTAATATTTTCCTTTTTTCATCATACCCATAAGTTAATAAGGTGGGGAGACTTCACCATATAATCCCCCGCAAAAACAAAGGGACTTCACCATTTAAGTTTGTCTCACTCCACCTCCATGGGATCAGACTAAAGATCATGCACCTCTTGCAATCCTTGAACAGTTGGAATTTATTAGGAGTTACTCCCCCTGTCCCATAATATCAGTACTAGGGAAAAGCCTAGCAGTAGCGCGGGTTTTGGGTGTATCAGTAGCGCAGGCGCCTATGCTACTAATACGGCACCACAGCTAACTTGTAGCAGTAGCGCGTGTTGACACGCGCTACTGCTATACATGGTTAGTTATAGCGTGTGTTGCGGTACAGCGCTACTGCTAATTATCTGTAGCGGGACTTATACCCCGTGTTGCTACTATTACTTTCAAAAACAAAAAAAATCTGGATCCCGTGTGTGTTGTCAATGGCAGCAGTGGTTCGATCTAGCGACAGTTAGGGTCGCCGGAGGCATGAACGGACAGCGGCAGACCAGATCCTGCGGTGGCTGTTGGAGAGGACCTGTTTCTATGAAGAGCAAGGCAGCAGCGTGGGGCTCCTCTTCCCGACCATGCCAGATAGCTCCTGGTCGTCCATGGCGACGACTTGCACGGGCATGGACATGGGAGGGTGAGTCAAACCAGAGGGAGAGAGAGAAAAGGAAAACCAAGGGAGGGAGGAAGGAGATGGAGGGAGCAGCGGGGCTAGTCACCGGTGGTGAGGTGCTCCGGTGTGGTGGCGCGAGGCGACAGCCTCCTAGACGCCGGTGGAAGACCGGCGAGCTCCTAGATGCCGGTGGCGTGAGGCGGCGACCTCTTTCGGCGCCATGGAGGAGGGGCGCATGGGCAAGAGGTCCATGTGAGAGCGTATGGAGAGAGAAAGAGGAGAGAGTGGTGAAAGAAAGGAGGGATTTGGGGGAGGAGATGGGGATTTCAGGGTTGTTAAAAAACCCTATACTTAGTATTAGCGAGGGGTATAAACCCGCGCTACTACTATCAACTTAGTAGTAGCAAAGGGTATAACCCTGGCTAGTGCTATGGCATTGTCCCGGGGGCACGATAGAGACCACTTAGTAGTAGCGAGGGTTATAAATCCGCGCTACTACTATCAACTTAGTAGTAGCGAGGGTTATAAATTCACGCTACTAGCAAGTAGCAGTAGCGAGGGTTATAAACCCGCGCTACTAGTAAGCGTTTGTCTATAAGCTTTTCTCTAGTAGTGTAAAAGAGGCTTTTTTACACTACTTCCTTCGTCCATGAATAAGTGTATGTTTGACGTTTGAAATTTGTCCATCTTTTCAATGCACTTTAAAGTAGAAAATATATTTCTCTCTCATCACACGGTAATCAAGACCAATAAGATTCAACACATGGTCTCCTTACTTTCTACATGCACTTAGCTCATTGGAGGTGGGTAATTAAAGAGGAGAAAGATGATGGTTTGCACATTTCCAATGCATTTTTTACTCCAATCCATAATTTACCCTAAAGTTTCTGTATGTGCGCTTATTCATGGACGGAGGGACTAATATCAAAACCGCTCTTATATTATGGGACAGAGAGAGTAGTTAATTGGCTAGGCATAGCCATGCCCAAAACTCTAACACAACAAACCGTCAACGGAAGACGAATTACAAATCAAGTAAGTGTTTGAGAATTAGAACTTTTAAATTTCTTTGTTACCGATGATCTTGATGATACATCATTTTTGTCTTGTGTGCATGCAAGTATATTCTTTTTCTTAATCCATGCCTTGTCAATCGTGGTGTAGCGTCCCAAGCCTATGGCATGGCTTCGCGTATACTGTGCCGACTTTCACGCGTTAGGCTTGTTCTATTTCTACCGGTTGTTACATGAAAGATTAGATATTATCATTTATCTTTGAGAATTTTTCGTCCCCACTTTATATAAGTAAAGTCAAACGATATAAGGTTTTTTGAGGAAGTCCTCAAAAGCTGATCAAATAAAGGACACGACAAAACAAAGCCAAAAACGCTAGAAACGCACAACCGTGCACTGCTAGACGCTGCCAACAAGCTGCCGAGAACAAACCCATGAGCCTCTCCAGTGTTTTTGACCATTTCCTTGAGTGTTTAAGTCCACGGGGCCAATAATAGGTTTTGGGCCCGGATTTGACAGTCAACTAGCATTGATCGTGCTGCGATGGAAGAAGAAAGAAATGTGCCAACCGATGTATCCCATTAGCAAATGGACGAAGACTAATCTTCTATTGATGGCAGAATAGGATTTCAACAAGTGGTTCAAACAGTTCCGTCATTTGATTCACAGTGCGATTGATAACGTGCCAACTGCTAGGATTTGGGATTTATATAAAATCCCTGCAGCAGCCGGTCCTAGTCCTACGACTTTCAGGGGATAATGTTAGGGCTGCACGATTGTTCTTGTGGATTACCGAAAAAGGCTTTCGCACCGCTTTATAAATAAAGCACCAATCAACAAGCATTCAGACAAACACACGCCACGCCACCGCAACACACGCACACACCCAGGACAGGATACAAAGGCGCTGAGCGCAGCAACACCACCACTAGCACTACCACACAGAGATGAAGCTACATTGTTCTTGTGGATTAGGTAAACATGCCAGCAAGTTAATTTAATCCCTTCCACTTTTAGGTAGAGCAGTTAAACATTTGGTGTACTTTCTTTCGTGCATAGATCCTGGTAGGCTATTTCGAATGTACTGTCCTGGTAGGCTATTTCAAATGTACCCCTCTGTCCTAAGAGCGTTTTTGACACCAGTGTGGTGCCAAAAACGTTCTTATATTATGAAACGGAGGGAGTACTTTTTAGACCGCCTTAAAAGAAATTTACTCATGAACTTGAAGTTCATCTCTTTTCTGGCCAAAACGAACACCGACGAGTGGATTTCTTCTTCTTCTTCTTCTTTGCGAGAGAGTGAGAACTTGGTTTGGAATGTGGACTCGACTTGAGATAATACAAGTATTTGTGAAAAATCAATGGTGCTCCTGCAGGTCTTTTCAAATAAAATGTCGGTGAGAATCAAGATAGTTGAAGCGAAATGTATCCAATTGAAATAAAAATGTGATATTCTGGCTTCATTATCCTCTCCGTGTCGAGCTCAAAAAAAAATCGGTGTGCGATTTAAATAGGTCTAACTATGTTATTGACAAAACATAACTAAACATGGCTCAGATAGTTATGTTTCATGTGATGAAACCAACCCACAGGGTTCAAGTACTAGGGGAGAATATCTCGTACTCCCACCCCTAGGGTGCTCCCGGTGCTCCAAACTTGGTAGCACTTTTTTAAATGGTCGAAAAAATCTGAAAAAAAATCCAGCACATAGACACAACACCGTTGTATCTTGTCACAACATTTGAAATCAAAATTCGAAACATAGCTTGAGAAACATAAATGACAAATTCGACAGTAAAAAGTACACAACATAAGTTGGGCTTTAGATTTGGCCCATTATCACATTGATATCGATTTTGTCATTTTTGTATCTCAAGCAATGTTTTGAATTTTTTTGACAACATACATTGATGTTGTGTCAATGTGTTAGATTTTTTTCAAAATTTTTTGACTATTTAAAAATATGCTACCGAGTTTGGAGCACAAGGAGTACTCTAGGGATGGGAGTACCAGATATTCTCCCTATCTGCTCCTCCTGAACTCAAATGCTCCTGATAAACTGTAAAATCAAAAAAGTATTAGAAAACTTCAAAAAAAATCTGACTTTTCTTGATAATTTTGACAAATGCTTTTTATGCTTGCAAAATTCAGCACAAAAAAACATTCGTGAAAGTCATGGAAAAAAAACAAAATCAACGCCCCAAAAATTCTAGTTTGAAAACATTTTTGGAGTGCTGGTTTTGATTTTTTACCATGACTTCCACGAATGTCATTTTGTGCTGAAATTTGTTCAACATGGATAAAAATTGTCAAAAATATCCGCACAAAAAAATTAGAATTTGTTGAATCTTTTTACTTTTTTTTAATATTTTAATGTTTATCAGGTTGCATTTGAGCTCGGGATCAAAATAGGACTTCCATGAAAATCTAGGGATGCATATTATTACTCCTCTCTAACAGCAAGGTGATATCAACTCTACACAAGATGTACATGCACGGAGCTACTGGAAAAGATATGCTAGGGGGTGGGAGTGCACCGATGTAAACACGGCACGGCTCTCTGCTGCCAAAAGAATCCAGCACGCCCACAAGGCCAAGAACTCGATCGATCGACCCCCAGAACGAACCACCCAAAGAATTACACTTCACCATGAAAGAACAAAGAAGGACAAGGGCCGATCACAGCTTCAAGCTGAACTTGCAGTTGCTGGCCTTGATCTTGATCTGGCTGCTGGCGTTGAGGAGGCTGTCGACGACGAGGTCGCAGCGCACCCTGGACGTGACCGTCCACAGCTTGAGGCTGCCGAGCTCCACCCGCACGGGCACGTCGGCGCGGAACACCAGCGGCACGGCGCCCGTCTGCTGCTCGTCGCGCAGCGCCGCCACCACCGCGCTGCCCAGCTGCGCCTGCCCGGCCATCACCACGCCCAGCACCGTCGTGTTGCGGCGGCCCTGGTAGAAGGCCGGGAGCGCGCCCTGGGCGAGCCTGTGGGTGTCGTACCACACGCTCAGGCTGGACCCGCGCTCGTAGAAGATGCCGATGCGGCTGTTGGGGTTGGCCGCCGTCACCGTGACGTCGAACCGCGCGCTCGCCGTGAGGGTCGGGTCCACCTGGAACTGCGACACGGATAGCCGGTCCACCGAGTAGCGGGGCGCCTTGGGCTGGAACACCAGGTAGAGCGCGCCCAGGGCCGCCGCGGCGAGGACGGCGAGCAGGAGGACGGTCACCACGACGCAGCAGATGAAGCGGCAGCAGCAGCCCCTGCGCCGCTTCGGTGGCGGCAGCGGCAGAGGTGCGGCCACGCGGCGCGGCGGCGGCGGCAGCGGCTGGTGGTGTGGCGGCCTCCTGTCCGGGGCAGCGGCCGGGTCGCCCTTGTCGGACCGGAACGAGCTGCCCGGCGGCACCAGCGGCGCCGACGGCCTCGGCTGGCCCGCCTCCAGGTCCACCGGGTGGATCCTCTGCCTCTGGTGATCCGCCATGGCCGAGTAGCTAGCTAGCCAAGAAGTGCACTGCACGCAAGAACAGTCTGAACAGAAGTCTGCTACGCTAGCTAAAGAGAGGCGGCCTTGCCGAGACTGCAGTTTCAGCCTTGCGAGCCTCCGTCTCCTCCTTGTCGTGGCAGCAAAGAAATGCCTGTGCGGCTCTATATACTGGCGTTCCGGCAGGAGGGAGACGACGGCGAGGGGGCGGGGGAGGTGGAAAGGCGGTTGACTTGCGGTGCAGCGGGGATGGGAGGGAGGCTTGGACGCGAAGGGAGAGCACGTATGTGTGGCTGCGTGCGTGTCGGTGTGCGGCGTGTCGCGGGGGCGTGAAGTCTCCACCTGCCCCAACGGCACACGGCCATTGCGCGTCGATTGTGTGTGCGCCGGGGCTGCCCGCGGCTTTCCGCACGGGTTCGGTGAGCGGCGCCGCGCGGCAGAGCGTGCCCGGTTGGTGCGATGGCGCGTGGAAGGGAGCGAAAGCAAGCGCCTGCCCGCGTTTTCCTTTCTCTTGGAGTGACGAGTGTCGGGGATGCACATGGGGCGCACGAAGAACTCGCGGAAACGGGCCGTCGTCACGAGGGGATTCATGTCGGAGGCGCGTGGCCCTAGTAGATTCGGACGCGCCTCCCGCCGCTCTGCACACGCGATCTTATGATTGCATCTCCATTGCGGATCCTCATACCCCTGTCGACCAGCGCATCACCAATATCCAGGAGCGCTGGCTGGCCAGGCTTCAAAACTCGGGCAGGGACTTGATGTCGGCGTTGCGAGCGCCGTCCCTCATCTGCTGCCGGCCACCACGAGCGCCGGCCAATGCGGTGTCGGCCGTTCCTGCTCCGCCACCGATTCCGGACCTCGTGTTTCTGGGCTCGGCGTCGGCGCCGTCCACCGAGCCGCCGCTTCTTGGGATCCTATTG